TATATATATATATATATATATATATATATATATATATATATATATATATATATGTATTTTAAAATTACTAGTTCCTCGATCTCTAAAAAACACCGGACAAGGCACGTCACGAAAAACTGAGGAAATCTAGGAAAAAAAAATATGTATATATGAAAAATTTTCTTCGTCCTGGAAATTTCCTAGATTTTCCTGCAAATTACTGATAATGCTCCTTAAATCACAATTAATTCAATTCTAAAATTTGGTAAGGACGAAATTGACATACTTCTGGAATAACGGTCCCGAAATGAGGGATAGATGTCACCGACAACGGACATGCTTCCCCGTTTAATGGAGCCATTGAAACCAAACATCTTAAATTCAGCTTTAAATGTATGTTTTTGAAAAATGAAAGAAATTGATTTAATCAACCATGAATCAATTTTCCCAAAGTTAATGATAAAGTAAACCGGAAAAAATTACTCCTCAAGTCACAACAAATTTTGCGTAAATGATTCCAACCTATATGTTTTGTTGATGAGGCGAAGACGTGTGGGGTGGTCCAACGATAACAAACTTTCGCCCCTAATTAAATCCAATTCAGAACTGTTTCTCAATGCAAGGATCGTCAATAACAACGTTTGAGCATGTTCTGAATATCTCTGTGCTTCACCTTCCATGAATAGTTTCACCTGAACCAGCAACGTCACTAACAAAAATGGTACATCATCGTTCGATTTCGAGTCGTTCAACGGTTTTGTCTGATCATTAGCAATGAGCAGTAGTTTTACTTTTAAATACTGGACAAACTTAAATCAATACCTACATTTTGCAACTCTTCCACAAAACTATCCAGTGACTCATCATTCAATTTCCCCACTTCAAATAATGTTACCGCATGATTTTTCAGACTCTGAAAAAAGAAAACATTCAAAATGAAAATTTCAAGGAACAAGAAATATTTAGCAAAACTTTGAATCCCATTACAACGGTTGGATTTTTGGAAACATTTGCAAGCTTGTATTTAGCATTTGGATTGATTTCCATTAAAATTTACATTGCCATTTGTTTTCATTCTAATTCTTTTGTTCAAAAGAGAAAAAAAACTTAAAACTGATAAGTTCCCCATCATGAGAAAAGCAGTCAACGATGAATCGAAGAGAAACGCAATTCGTTTCGCAGTTTCACTTCCACCACTGGGAGTAGGAGTTGTTAACGATAACGACTGAAAAGACGTGCAGCTTATCATAACTAAAGAAGGCAGAGTAATAAACTTCTAAACCTAATTTACAATTTGAATCATTAGGAAATGTATTAGTACCGTGAACGATGCTGTAAGGACATCGTGGTTCATGATTAATCCATCTGTATTGGATTCATTTTCGTCATCTTCATCGGCACCGCTTGGAGAAACCAATGTAGTGGAAAAGTCTGAGAGATCCGTTGTGATTGCTGTAGTCGAATCTTCGTCCATTCTGTGAAAAATCAAAAGTTAATAGAGCATTTTAGAAATTATGCAGGAAGCCAAGAAAAGTGCAGTAAAAAAAATTTACAAGAGTAGGATGGAAAATTAAAAACTCATGGAGCTGCAGGAGCTATTCAGAATAACTTGACCTGGTTGGTTAATATGTGCAACAAATAAAAAATTTCCACAGAAACAAACATAGAACGAAATAATGAATATTAACAACATAATGAATTAACAACGAATTTCCGGAAAAGAAAAGGAAACAGGAAATTATAAAACAAAACCATAGAAAAAAGTTGACGAATGGGAATGAACGTTTGTAATCATGGAGATATGCAAGTTATTTCACAGTTAAGTTATATTAAACAATCAAACGATGGAGAGGACTTTAAAATTACAAAAGGAAGCAAAATGTATTAAGTGAAATACCGATAACTGCCTCCAAATTATGGTATAATATTCATCGAAAATGTTAGTGTTGAATGAGAACTAGACATGGGACTATCTAAGAAAAAAAAAGTCTAAGGAAACTGTGCACGGTTTGATATTTCATGGTCAATAAAAGCTTAAGTTAAATTGAAAATTTAAAGTACTCACTCTGGAATGATCATATGACTTGCCCATGTTACGTGCAACGCAAGATTTTCTAACCCAGTGATACGCTTCTTCGCGAAGCCAAGACGGCAAAAGACGGAAATTGCATTTTTTACTAGTTGCAAATCGATATTTAGAGTTTCCGACAGCTGAAATTATTGAAAGTAGTGGAATTCATAGAACTAACAAAAAATTCTATTAAATTTTTGTGAACTGCTTTCCTGGTTGCATTATTTGAATGTCTAAACTTGAATAAAAAATAGAAATCCAAATAATTTAGGATACCTCCCGTACAGTTGTTTGCTCATCGATGGCCACAAATATCTGATATAGCAAATTTTCAAAATAATCGCCCAAAACTCTATTCATAACAAAACCATCCAAAGTTGGTACTGCAAGAAATACGGATAAAAGTTATGCGCTATTTATTATTAAAATTGGTTAAATGTGTAATCTGCACTGCTTATTGATTGAGGGAGAAGAGTTTTGGCATTTCATTATCTGAATCTTAAACTTGTGATCTGAAAAGCCAGGGAGGTATTTTTATAAACGTGTAGGAGGCAACCGAATGAAAAGAAAAAGAAAATAAAAGAAACCAACGGGAGGAAAAAGAAATTCCTACCGGAGCTTCATGCCACTACTGTCTACAACAAAAGTAAAGTTTAGGAAAAGCCTTACATTCATTCTTTGAATACCGCTAAATAGTTCGTCACTATTGCTGTTTACTAATAATTTGACATAACGGCAGATGGAAACTTAATCCTTAATTTGCAAAATTAATTTCAAATCTGTGCACAGAAAAATTAAACAGAATTGTTTGTGATTGTTTTTTGTCTATGCAATTAATTAATCAAAAGCAAAATGTAAACGCAATTAATACCATAAATGTAATCGTCATCGTTAACTGGCACCTCCAAATAAGCCAAGCCACGATTATAAAGTTTTTTGCACCAGCTTTGCATCAAGAGTACCAACCAGTTGAGCACCTTCATCGATAAGCATATCTAACAAATCTTTCTCATCCCTGTTCAGCAACTGCAATACCTTCATTTAGTTTTCACCAAATGAAATCCCCAAGTTTTAAAACGCAAACTGCTATCAGTTAAAG